GTGGGCCTCCATTGGGTTGATTAGGGTCGCCTCCTGGTGCTGTCGGTGGGCCTCCATTTGGTTGATTAGGGTCGGCTCCTGGTGCTGTAGGTGGGCCTCCATTTGGTTGATTAGGATCGCCTCCTGGTGCTGTCGGTGGACCTCCATTTGGTTGATTAGGGTCGGCTCCTGGTGTCGCTGACGGGCCTCCATTGGGTTGATTAGGGTCGGCTCCTGGTGCTGTCGATGGGCCTCCATTTGGTTGATTAGGATCGGCGCCTGGTGCTGTCGGTGGGCCTCTATTTATTTGATTAGGATCGGCGCCTGGTGCTGTCGATGGGCCTCCATTTGGTTGATTAGGGTCGGCTCCTGGTGCTAGGCCTTTGTTAACTCCGAGACCTTTATTACCACCTAGTCCTTTGTTACCTCCCGGTCCTTTATTGCCACCGAGACCTTTGTGATCTAGTCCTTTATTACCTCCCAGTCCTTTGTTACCTCCAGGACCTTTGTTACCTCCAAGTCCTTTATTACCTCCGAGACCTTTGTGATCTCCGAGTCCTTTGTGACCTCCAAGACCTTTGTTAATTCCTGGTCCTTTGCCACATCCCAGACCTTTGTTACCCCCGTGACCTTTATGTCCGAACCCTTTGTTATCTCCGAGACCTTTATCTCCCAGACCCTTGTGATCTCCCAGTCCTTTGTTAATTCCTAGTCCTTTATTGCCTTCTAATCCCTTACCACATCCGAGACCTTTGTCTCCCAGGCCCTTGTGTACTTCCTGACCTTTGTTACCTCCGAGACCTTTGTTACCTCCTAATCCCTTACCACATCCGAGACCTTTGTCTCCCAGGCCCTTATGTACTTCCAGACCTTTGTTACCTCCGAGACCTTTGTTACCTCCTAATCCCTTACCACATCCGAGACCTTTGTCTCCCAGTCTTTTGTGATCTCCCACACCTATATGGCCTCCGAGACCTATATTGCCTCCTAGTCCCTTACCACATCCGAGTCCTTTGTCTCCCAGTCCTTTGTGAGCTCCCAGTTCTTTGTTACCTCCGAGTCCTTTGCTACATCCGAGAGTTTTACTACCTCTTAGTCCTGCGATAACTGT